CCCCCCCCCCCCCCCCCCCCCCCCCCCCCCCCCCCCCCCCCCCCCCCCCCCCCCCCCCCCCCCCCCCCCCCCTCCCCTCCCCTCCTTTTTGTCAATTCTGACTTTCATTTGTACTTTCCTCATGTCAAAAAACAAAGTGATAGGGATCATTTTATACACTGAAGCAAACATTAGGAACCATTTGAGCTTAAAGAAATTGGAAGATCCCTTTATTTTCAGTTTCACAGCTTGCCCCTTTACTAGTTCTCACTTCTCAGGTCGCTCACTTCTCTCCCTCTAATTCAAAAAAAATTCCGGCACTCAGGTGTTGGCGGCGTCATTAAGTCAGGCGCTCTGTCGAGGTGGGTATCTCTGTTCATCACTGTAAATAATTTTTACTTTGCACCTCGTTTTAAAGTTTTTTATTTTCTGTTTAGAAACTTTAAAAATTGGTGAAGAGGGGAAATTGAGTGCATCGTGTATCAAGAATGCTGGTCCATTTGGAGTTATTTCCCCCAATTTTATGAATTACATTTGGACTTTTGGTTTGAATTTGCTGTTACACACACCGTCTTAGGCGAACATTTATATTGTTATGCGTTTTTTGCGCGCTAGTAATTTTCCCCCTTTCTTTTCTTTTTTTGTTTGATTAATTAACATTTTAATATTAAACTATCTTTATCATGCCGTATGTTTATTTTTATCTTTTGGGTTATTGTTATTATTGGTTAATCATTAATATATTTTGTATGAATTAACATTTTAGTATTATTATTTTCATCTTTTGGATTATTGTGATTATTGGTTAATCATTAATATATTTTGTACTTAGTAGTTTGCAGGACTTGAGCAAGGGAAAAATATATTTTGCTTCTTTGGGAAGCCCGATAAATAATCTCCAGATGGTTAGTATTCATGATTACCAAAGTTTAGTTTATTTTTATTTTTTATGGTGCAATGCAAGGTCAACATTCAAGTTTTCTATTATCTGCATTTTCATTTTTCAAATTATACGTTTTCATCTGTAGTGTGAGATAGTGGACTTATCAGATAGCGAAGACTCTCCGATGCAAGAAAATGTGGCAGAAATTAAACCAGAGCTCGACTATTTGGACTATGAAGTGCCATCTCAGAACATATCCTCAAGGGATATAGCGGTATGGTTGCTAGCTTGCTAGTTGTTATTCAAGGTTCAGCTTCCAATTTTATTAAGGGTACCTTTGGTAACCTAAAACTACTCTCTGAAATGGGATTTGAGATAATTTAGCTCATTGTTATGTGGCAAAAGAACTTATAGCCACAACATCTTGTAATTGACTGCATTGCTATTTTTTGTGGTAAATTATACACCATAATGACTTGTTGATATATTTGTTTTCCTCGAGTGTTTATTTTTCTGCAGGATAATGTTGCAAGCTCTTCAGGAAGCAACATAAGATCATCCTTAATAGGGATGGGATTCTCGTCCTCTCTTGTTGACAAAGCAATTAAGGAAAAGGGTGTGTTTTTCTTCACCAACTTTATTGTGAGTTGATATGTGAAAAATATTAGCTTTCTGTTAATATTTTGTCGTGTTATCAAATAGAAAAAGCTATCAAGACTCTCTGTATTTCGAGTTTAATGTTTTTCAAGATTAACACTCCTTGGAGTTCTTATCTTTTCTGTTAACTATGTATCTTCGTTGCTGTTGAAAAATGACACAAACGGCGTTTCCTTGTCACTTTAGGTGGAGACGATGTTGATTTACTATTGGAGACTCTCTTTGCATATACAGTAAGCATACTTATTTCTATCCATGCCATCTTTTTTTATCTCTTTCTAGTTTCTTACCAAGGTGACTATGAACTAGACTATTCACAGTTTTTCATTTGAAGAAAGCTGACTAGTTTTGTCAGCTTTGCTCATTGAACTTTGCATGTTAATTCTTTTGCATTTAGTGTAGGTACTTCAATATTTAATATAATGCTTGGGAAGAAAGGAACATTAACCTTTATATAAACAATGGTGTTTTAAGTCGATTTGTATTGTTGCTAGTTGTAATGGTAACCACTAATTAGTGACTCTCTCTGCTTTGTTTCGACTCTGATGATGTTCCTGCCTTTTCTTTGCAATTGAAACTTTAACTCTCTATGCAAATCCTCATTATCTGTTGCTTATACACACTGATGAGTTCATGCTTTCATGAATTTAATCAGGAAATTAGTTGACATTTAAGTCCTATCAGTTGCTATCATCAATGGAAACCTAGGCATATCTTAGTGCTGTATTGTCTTTGATGAGCGCCCTGCCTTCTCTTTGCAGGAAAGCCTTTTCTCAAATTGTTTATGCACATTCCTCACTTGCTTTATAAGCATATTTCTGATAACTCATGCTTGTGTGTATCTTATGACTAAATCAAGCAATTTGTTGCCTTTCATTTGCCCATATCTCTACTTGTCTGAATGAGTTTGGTCCCATGTAGTTTGAATCTATATTAGCTGTTAAAATGGCCTATTAGTTGGCTGATATATTGATATCCTTACAGACACAAAGCTCAATTATGCTTGTAATTATTATTTATATTATACTTACCCACCCTCCACTGCTCACTTTTAAATGAATAGGCTCTTCAAAACCTAAAGACTGAATCTTTTGATGATGCAATATTCCATGACCAGGATGAGTTAGCTGCAGATGTTCGTGCAAGAGAGGTACACATCCTTCAAAATTTCCAAGTAAAATAGCTCTCAATCCAATTTTCGACCAAGTTTATTTTGAAACCTTTTACATTTTTCATTGGCAATCATGTTTCTGTTTTTCTGTTTGTGTTATTCATTATGGACTGTCCTACATTTCTTATTTATCTCTCTTCTTTTGCTTAATCAGAAAGATTCAATTCAGTTTCTTATAAATGGTTTCATAATTTTACGTGTCTTGCTAATATTAATTGTTTTAAATAATTTAATAGACTGCCTCGGAGGGCAAAATTAGGCTTATAAACATGAACATCAATCCCTTCTTAGTGAGGCTATCTATCATGCATTGTAATAGTTGAACCTAGTTCGTGAACTGGTTTCCCAATTAACAGGTTCTTCATAGATCAGCATCTTCGGATTCTCTTGATAGCTTGTTTGGTGATGGCGGGGATACAAATAGTCACACCAATATTGGAAAAGATGTTCAATTAAAAGAGGTAACCTGATATGAATTTTTCTTCTGTATTTATTATTTTCTAGTGTGGTAATCGAGTTAAAAATGAATGTGTTTGTGATTGACTGACTCGATTCTTGATGTCTTATTTCTTTCTCCTTACAATTCATCGTCCAAGTTACATTCTTCAGTTGCCACCTTATTGAAGAACATTAATGGCATGATCCTTTAATAAACTGGAATTCCAGTTTGCCTTAGCTTTTGACTGTTAATTAATTTATGGGTTAACATTGCATACGGATTAACTTTCACTCTATTGCAGGAACCTGATTTTTGCAGTACAGTCATTGACGAGAAGAAAGCAAACTTGTTAAAAATGAGTTTCTCCATGGATGAAGTGGAGTTTGCTATGGCTAGACTTGGTATGTGGGGATCTCCTAATTTTTAAATATTTTGCATTTTTTCCTACACGACAGGTAATAATTTAATGGCTTTATGATTGACACTGATTTTTTACCTTCAATTCATACTTGCTCTTAATATGTATATCAGATATAGCCCTCTTGGTTGAATAACCATAAAATTACAAGCTTGTCCGGTCGTGCATATTTTGCCTTCTAATATTCTTCAGCTAGTAGTTTTGTTTCATTGAGTATCCCTTTTTTCTGTTTGAGGCTGCATGGCTCATGTAATGAAAACAATACCTATTTTTGAGATTTCTGAACGATCATATAAGTCGGCTTGTATAACAAGTTGGCTCCATAGTCATGTGTAACAAGTTATCCTTTGTTTCTTAACAGGTGAAGATGCTTCTATTCATGAACTAGTGGACATCATCATTGCTGCACGGATGGCGAAAAAGTATGAAAAGAAAGCAGATTATCCTATTTGTGGTGATGCAGAAAGGAACAAGGTATTTGATAATTCATTGTGTTATGACATGTGTGCAACATATGTTAGAGGCATGTTGAAAATCTATATATATATAAAACATGGGACATTTCATGTGGCGTGTCTAACACTTGTCGCATAGTATTTGATAATTCATTGTGTTATGCATAGCACGTGTGCAACATATGTTTGAGGTATGTTGAAAATGTAACGCCCCGAGTTCCGTGAACCCGAATTGCTACGTCATCGTCTTTTGTAACTGAATTAACTAAAAGTTTTTAACTAACTTTTAAAAACATCGTATTTATAACGGTAAAACCTCAACGGTAACAAAATTCATTTGATTTACTTAAGGAAAATCGTTTAAACTTCATAACTGAAGTTTGAAATAACAGGAACAACAAAATAAGTTCATAATGCGTAAATTTCAAAGGAAAATAACTTCGACTATTAATTTATGCCACCATTGCCCATCACACTTGACCGTTTTCGAAATTTGCAAATATTGTTAAAATAACGGAATGAGTATTTCGATGAAATACTCAGTAGACTCATCGCCGATAATTAATTTACAGAATAATTGAATACGCAATCATACAATTCATATCGTGACATCATCATCATAAGCTCATTTTCTTGAAAATCATAAACTCTTTAAAAACATAGG